ATAGATATATATCTATATATATATCTATATATATATATTCTAGTCTTTTATAAAGGCATGGTTTGTATTATACAATAAATTCACCAATTTCACCAGCAATGTCTATATAGGCATTGAAGTTTTACACACTGTAACACTACTATAATACTGACAAAGGAAACGGACTCTATACCCAGGTGTCAGACCAAGGACTGCATAACAAAGGACCATACCATGGCTTACATACACTAGTTGGTATGTGAAATGTGTACCATTTCATGCATTTACAGTTTTCATAAAAGAAAGAGGACTTTAGGCTTCTTTCATCTTGCTACATTGTAGATTCTGTGTCAGTTCTGGCACACTGTAGAAAACAATTATGCTTTGAACAAGAAGATGACATTGTATTGTCACACTGACATCCAGTACCACTTACAACAGCTTGTGTTTTGATTGTATTGTTCAATGTATGAATATGCTTCTACATAGTGTTTCCATATAATCACTGAATGATAGCTGAGTGCACTGAATGGAACATGGCAGTCTGCAAAAGAGAATGTGACCACGTGGCAATGTCTACACAAAGGAGTTCATGGCATTCACCGGAGATGGAGCTTCTGAACTTTCATTGCCTTCTACGGGTTCTTTTTCTTTTTTACCACTGTATTGTCCAATAAAGGAGCCGTCTTCATTAAACTGGCCATTTACTCCTTCCCCGTAGTCAACTAAACTGTCATCACTGTCTTCTTTTTTGACTGTTCTGTCTGAGGGAGTCCGGCTTCCTTTTTTAAGAGGTTTGTGGTCTTCAGCATCACTGATAGAAAAAGATAACATAACTTGAGAAAACATGAAAGAACACCACAAATAATAAAACATGCATGCTTAACAGTAGTGCATAAACGGCACTAACTTGCTGTAGCCCATTATGCACAATAATTTTTTATTAAGATAAACATTTAAAAAGCACGTTTGGTTTGCTAGTGACTACTGTATATCTGTGATACTTGTACCATGGCAGTGCAGAATATGTTAGCATTCTCTATTAAATTTTATTACATATACAAGTGGGAGAGAAGAAGGAGAGACAACTATTACTCAATATTCAGGTGTACTAATTATGTATCTTACTGACACTAAAAAAGATATATAAGATTTCCAGAGAACAGTATATCAATGGTTTACCACTCTAAACAAGGAAAGTCATAGGATAAATGTCAAGCTTTGTATAAATCTTGCAAACATTTCAATTGAAAGGCAAATACCTTTCAATTAACCTATATATCCCATAGAAAAAATAAAGAACATAAATACAAATCACCTAAGGAAAATAAATCAATGTTTGCAAATTAAATTAGCGTGCTTGATTGCATATTATCGCATGATACAGGTAAAAGGAGAACTCAATATTCTGTAAAATTGTAAATATTAACCAAACATCATAATGAACACTTCCTTTTATGTGGTCTGATTTACTATAGCATGAAGTGAGGGGATACTGGGCCTGACTACATAATACTACTATATACTGTATAATACTAATTATATCACATTAGATTAGAATTGTACATTTTTGATGTTCCTAAATATTCCCATACAAAATATGCTGATGCATAATGAATCATGCAGTTCAGAAATCCAGAGTACTGTAATTAATACATTCTATAAATCTATTTAGGCCCACCAAAAAGATTCTTCCCTCATGTGATGTGCCCATGCTTATTGTTCCCACTTTTGGGGTGTGGATAAGTCCTGTAAGCTGCATTTTGGGTAAGATGATCTACATTTTTTCATTCAATTCCATTGTATGAAATCCTTAACAATGTGCATTAGCACATGAATGTCTTGGGTATACCAAGCCTAAGATGTGAAGTGGGGTGAAGTGAACACGTGTTCCTTTCAAACATCCAAACATGTCAAGAAGGTCTGGTTTGTCCCCTGAAGTTCCCAGCACATAACTGAACACAGGTTTAACTATCTTTGTCAAGGATGTCCTGCTGACACTCCTCAAGGAAGCCCTTGATAAAGTCAATAAGAGGAAAAGTGTCAGGTATTTTTGACATTCTGGTAAAAGATTTTATTTATTATTTTTAACAGGTGGAATGACCACAATGTTTGAGAGCATTGTCAGTCTAATTGAAAAAGCGTAACAGGAGAATCGTGTATAGGATCCCCTGCTCATTCTCATATTAAATAGCATTAGAAAGTATTTGGGAAACAATATATACATTAGATATTAAGAGTTTTGTAACATAACATATATATCCAGCACAAGTACAGTATATCAACTGTGTGGAGGTTATGTGAAGCACTTCCTTGTGTGTGTTCCTATAATGTACCTATATAACATACCTGGCCATAGGCATTACATGTGGCTGTACATGCATATATAATATAAGTGTTGATTGACTATTTTCTAAAACGTAGTGGCTCATAGTAGACATGTGTAAATTTTGCTTCTATTTTTCTTGCAGTTGCAACAAAATCACTTAAAAAAGTTATCTATGCCAACAGACAGAGCAGACTGATTTGCCTGTTCATTAAAAAAATTAAATGCAAAATAATGTGGAAGTGTTACCATTGAAAGACAAGCTGTTATTTTCTTTCAGACACAACCCAACTGATTGGTAGAGGTATCTCCAAATGATTTTGGTTGTCCTGTGTGGTTGTGTATTTAAGAAATGACCAAAAATTTGGAATTTGAGATAAGGCTTGTACCTGTATTCTCCAAATGTTCCATCATCCTCTTTCATAGGCTGGATTTCAGGATCTGCATGAGCATCTTCTTTTTCTTTAACTGTAACACAACAGCAGAAAAAGACTGAATTACAGAATAAACAGTCTGATATTTTACCACTTAGTCAGCACCATGTTCATTTTTTTTTACAAGGACGGTGGATTCACTACATGCAGACTCTTAAAGTATAATTACGCTAAGGTGTTATGTCAAACTAGGACTCAATACACTTTCTCCTGTAGTACCCAAACCTGCAAAGTCTCCATTGCATTTCAGCCAAGAAGGGAGTGACTTTATTTATGGAAAGTGTATTTTGGCGATTCTATAGAATCACCAGTGTGACATGGCTCTAACAGTGCAGAAACGTTTGTTAGCCTTATCCTAACAGTTTCTGTAAAAAGCAAATTACAGGATTTATTTTTCTTACATGGATCAGCATGCTTGAGACACCACGGCCTGTACCCTTCCATTTTTCTTTCCTGCACAGAAAGCTGTTCCTGACAACATCTAAATGAGGAAAAGGGAACATTCACACTGTGTCCACTAGAAAGTTTATTTTCTCTTATTTCATATTTACACAGAATACAAGATAAAGCTCTGAAATGTTTTCTGCTGTACTCGGTGGTTTGCCAAAGAGCACAAGAGCTTTAGCTTGTATCCTGTACTAGTTTGGAATAAAGGAAATATGTTTTAGTGGTCACAGTGTAAATTCATCCATTACTTCTCATTTGGATGTTGTTTGGGCTGGGAACAAGCCTAGATCTGCACCCATGTATGCATGCACTGACCCGGAGGTGTTATATGCTTCTGATCACACTTATAAAAAAGGTTGTTTATGCTGGATCAATAGGTTTATATGCTGTCATTTCAAATGTAAGGATTCAGTTCAGAAGCTCCAGGTGTAGGGTAAGTTGGGTATACAGATTACCTGGTTAGGTGTCAGGGCTTAATTTTGTGTAAGGCTCAGGGGTTATCTAATTACAGTTAGGCTCAGTAAACCCTCCTCATTTGGGGCCCCACCCCCATTGGAGCACCCCATTGCTCTTTTTTTTAAATCTGAATGCAAACCTTTTTTTCATCTGTCTTTGGTCCGGTAACATGATGTCACAAGTACTTTTCATTCTCTTTTTTTTTTCCAGTGGTGGGTGGATCCTAAATGCTGCAGAGAGTAGCATGATGTAAGGGTGTGGTGCCACTCTCTGCAGCATTTTTCTGTGAGTGGCACAGAGGTTAAGGGTAAAGGCATTTTTAATACTAAAATGTTCAGGCACAGGAAGGGTTGAGTTTTAGAGGATGTGTTAGTGGTTTAAGGAACAACAGCTCAATGGTGAACAATACCAGCACTAACATCTTGCATGCCATGCTAATGCTCTACAAACAGCCTATCCACTAACATAGCTCTCTATTAGTGGTTAGAAGCCACTTCCTGTGCAGGAAAGGGACATGGCAGCTAAATGAGAAGGGTGCCTACTGTGGTGTCACAAATACTTTAAAAAGAAAATAAAGCATGCTGCTTCCTTAAATCCTAACTCCATGGAAGCTGTCTTATATGCCAAGGATTTGTATTTCTGTGCATCCAGTCCTAGTATTTATACAGCCCTTCCGCATAGTGCAGGAACCTGATATTTCTCTGCTGTATTTAAGTGACACAGCATAGTTACCTCCTCACCCCCAACCTGTGGTTGAACAGTGAACTTCTTTCCGCATGTCCTTTTTCAGTATATGACAGCAGAACACATGAGTACATCACCAAGTACTGCCCCTCCCTCCCTTAGGTTTAGTGTTGCTGTACATGGGATAGCAAGAAAAAAATCATCTATGTATGCTAGTAACATTTAAAATACATTACATCTTTTATAGAATACATAACTGTATTTGGTATTGGATTGGTGTATTTGGTTTTCAATATCTTTTTGGTGTTCAGCTTTAAAAATCAGAACTGTTGAACGTATGCCTTACCTGGATACTTCCCTCCTTTGTTTCTTCGAATAAAACAAACTATCAATAAAACTAATATCAGGAGGGCCACCGCACACATGAGGCCAATAAACCATCCCTGTGTTGCAATGTCAACTTGCCGACTTGCCATGGCTGCAGAATGTAAAGAGATAGTAAGATACAGAATTTAGATTTCTAAAACCAAAAATAGGGATTAATGTAAAAAAGCACAGTCAAACTGCAGCATCAAAGAAATCCTAAAAAACACAGCATATGTGGGAAAAGTCCTCTTACTAACACAGAAATGATCTGAGCTGTATCTGCGTGCATTACAAAATGTATCCAACATACAGACAAATTAAACAAGAGACCCTAAACATCACTACATAAATCAACCCTTATACATATTCTTTTTGGCATTTTCATTGTCTTTTCAGATATACAGGAAAAGCACGGTATTCCAGGTGATATATATTTCTTTAGCATATTTTCTAAACTTACTGAATTAAAAAGAGGGAAGAGAATGGTATTTTTAACATTCAAAGTGATTCAACTGGTATGATGCATTTACTAAAGGTAAAATACTCTACAATCAGACATAAGAGACCACTTATCGTGTAATTCATGCACGCATCCAAGTAGGTCATCCCGCTGCCTGGCTTAAATTATTAAACTAAGTGAAAGGAGTTTTAGGGCAGTTCCTGTAATTATAAATACAGTAAATACTGCAATGAATTGCAAACCATACCAATGGAATAAACTTAGTTTGCCAAAGGCAGTAAGCATAAGTACATGAGTTATCAATAACATTCTTAGATACCAATGTGAAAGGTTCAGAGGTTAACATATTTCAAATCAAGAATATGTCAGTTTGATACTGTTCACACACTAATTTCTTCTCCAGTAATACTAGAAAGCTGTAAGGTTGGTCTACATATTTGTGTATTTAATTAGTAGCTTTTGCACATAAATTCACTTTTTTTAAGGTTGCACATTATTATATAGGAGCCAGTTTTTCCTATAGCAATTTTCAAAGAAATATTATTCAATATTATAGAAATATTATATGCAAATATTTTGTAGTATCTTACCATATTTATTATGTGTTAACAAAATTCAGAGAAATATAACTAATCCACTGTGCATAAATGAAGCAACACATGAATAGTGTACGCTGCAAACATCGACTGTAATATACTATATGATATAATTCAATGCTAAGACAGATGTATAAAACCTAAAAATGCAGGCACCTCACAGAGGTATGATCTGAATACCTATTTTCTTTTTAGGTAGAGAATAACGTAATCAGGCACCTACAGACATAAGATAGCAGCCTCAGTGTGTGATCGTTCCTTGGATTTTTCATCAAAGGAAAACCACTAGAATTTTATAGTAAAGCCATTCCAGCAAGAGACCAGTGTCACCAGAAAAACAGATTGGTATAACAAACTTTCTGGCCCTGTTTCATTATATGAACAAATCTCCTGCACGTCTAGTTGTCCGGGGGGGCAGGGGGGGCACTTGACCCGGGCGCAGGACTGAGGGGGGGCGCCGTCACGACCCCCGCTAGACGAAGCCATGGCTCCGTCTCTCTGACACGATCACCCGGCTCTGTCATCGGGTGGCCGCTCGCTCTTCCGAGGCCACTGCGAGCGGGCCTCTACAGTGCCTGATTGGAGGGCGCGTCTGCCTGATCCAGCCAGCCCAGATCGCATAGCGGCGATCCG